GGTGTGCTGCTTCCATGTGGGCTTTGTTGCTTCTGGGCTAGATGGCGGCTTGTTTACTTCAAGCCTTTAAGTCCCCAGACGCTATAGGTCTAGACAGCCGGGCACCATCAGCCTTCTTCACCACACTTACTTATGCACACATTCGTCTTCAGCGTTTATATGGGGAAGGTGGTCACACAATGATGGTTTTTGTTCCTTGATGTCTGCTGCCTGTTCCCTTCAACACTCATATCTTAATAAATTAAAATGTTATTTACACTTCACATATAAAGAAATGTCAAAATCACTAACTGTAGCTACAGAAACTTGAACCTTTGGAAAAAGAATTTGAAGAAAAATAATTGTCCTGAATATTTTTCAAAAGAAGAATACAGGTGCTCTGAAGATACATATTCAGGGAGAAAAATCAGAAGTGCTAGCCAGGGGCAGCAGTTACTAGCCTTTACCAGTATTTCCAGTTCTCGTTTCCTTCCAGGAACTTGACAGGAGCATGCATGTGCAGCCTTATGTAGGTAGGTGAAGGGAGACGCCGGGCAGTGTAATATAAGATATAATAATAATTTATAAATTATCAAGGGTGCATGGGGGAGGGGGGAGGAGGAAGGGATGGGGAGAGGAATAAAGGAAAATGAGCTGATTCCGGGAACCCAAGAGGCAAGCGAATTTGGGGAATGATGAGGGCAACAAATGTATAGATGCGCTTTACACAATTGATCTATGTATTGTGATGAATTGTATGAGCCCCAATAAATTGATTTAAAAAATAATAATAATCATTATCCAAAAAAAAAACAAACAACATCTTTAATTTGAAATTGATGAAAATGCAATTAAGAGGCATTGATCATTACTGGCTATTGGAAAGTAAAATTCAGCAAGAAAAAGGTCCTCCCTGAGATGGATTGACCCAGTGCCTGCCACAGAGAGCTCAAACAGACCAATTGTGAGGATAGCTTTCGTTATTCTAAAATTTTAGTTTGAGTGTATTTTGTTGTGCAAGGTCCTAATGTCATTGGCTCCCAGGAAGAGGTTATTTCACCATTTAAAATAATATTTCATCATCTTAAAGGATTTATTACTTGTGGATTGTGATGAAGAACAGAGTCCTTCTTGTGTCTCTATTTTTCAGAAATGTGAGGTTAGAACAAATAGATTATTAAAGTTTCTTGAGAGGATAAAGAATGAGAACGTGTAACTTAGGGGGGCTTCCTGGGTTGTGCACTGAGCTACTAACCGCTAAGGCAGCAGTTGCAATCCACCAGTCACTGCCTGGAGAAAGAATGAGCTGTCTACCTCTTTAAAGATTTAAAGTCTCAGGAACCCAAAGGGCACTTTTACTCCGTCTTATAGGGTCACTACGAACTGGAATTTACTCAGTGGCATTGAGTTTTGAATCGCAACAGAGTAATTAGATCGATGAACTGAATAAAGGTTAAAGGTTTGAGAGTAACCAAAAGCCCAGTGAGTAAAGGGTGCATTTGGACAGCATCCTAGCAATCGGGTTGTTAGAGGGTTGGGGTTCTATCAGAGCATCTTTATTGGGAGGACAGAGATGGGGGCTGTGGTCTAGATGAATGGAATTCATTTATTTAGGAATCAATAGCTGCTCTGTTTTCTATTTTGTATATGAGTAGCAAGAGGTATAATACACTGAACACTGTCTTGTAAAATTAATGTTTAAATTTATATGTTTTTATTATGACTTTTAATATTGTCCTCTCTTTAGTGACAAGGGTGATAGTAGAAGAAATAATGATGAACATGATTTTCAGATTAGGCACAAAATGATAAATAATTTGAATTGTTTTAAAATAAAGTGGATCTCTGGTGTTTGTTGCAAGAATAGGAAGAAGAAATATGTAATATGGAGAATTCTGTCAGTAACTTTAAAATTCCACAGTACTTTAAGTGTTTGTCAGTATATCAAATTAATGGACATTTCTGTGTTAAGGCAAATTACATTCTATTGAATTTTTGAATTCAATAGAGGATAAGTTCTTGTTTCAATAAAAAGAGTCAGATATCTTAACCTAT